GAATGCCAGTGGGGAACAGGTGGTTAAGATCCCTCTCCCTACGCAGCCCATCAGTCCATTCTCTGAGACCTCTGTGGTAGTGGTGTGTCTTCCAGTGTGGGGCAGAGTAGCCGCCCACCTCAAAAGACTTCCAGATCTGATTTTAAAAGCTCTTAAGAGACAAATAGTAATCTAACAATCAAGGGCAAGCAAGGACTCCTACGGAGAAGCCTGCGTCTCTATAACAGCACAGCTAACTTTGAGAGACACAAAAATATGTCTACGGTGTCGCAGAAGGTGCTTCAGCGGTGCCCATCAGAACGTTGAGACTGACACCGCCCCTTCCTCCATAGAGGGGCTGCAAGTCCATTTTCTCTTTCTGTGTGACAGAAAAGGGAGGCGGGCACCCCAATGTCTCGCACTCCGAGGGCCTCAACGGCGCACATCTCAGCCTTTCCTTCTAAGGGCTGAGAGGCTGTCCCTGTCCGTCTCCCCACTCAGCCCCAATCCCCCTCTCCCATTCGGCAGCTCTCTCTCCCGTACTCGGTCTCCCTCCAACCTCCTTTCCCCACCCCTCTGCCCGCTAGACCTCTCTTCCTCTATCCCCCCGTCCCTCTTTCCTCCCCACTAGGTCCCTTTTCCCTCGTACCCGCGCCGCCCGGCCCTCGGTACCTTGAGCGTCACGTCGCACAGCTTGCCCTGCCGCCGGATCTCCTCCATGACGCCGTAGCCGCGACTCGGCAACTCGGACACGGAGAAGTGCACCAGATCCTCCAGCTCCTCCGCGCCGTCCTCCACCATCTTCCCCGGCCGCCGCGACTGCGCAGGCCTGGCCTGCCGGCCCGAAACTAAACAGGGCGGGGCGCGGGGGCGCGCCGACTGCAGCTCGGACCGCAGGGCTGGAACCAGCGGGGCCTGCGCGGCCGCCGTAGGCACAGACGGCTCTGCGCCGGAAGCGCTGCTGCCCCGCTTCCTTGTTCATGTGCAGCCTTCCTACCGTTGCTTTCCCCGACCTGGCTTCGCGCCTGCAGCTGCCGCAGTCTTCCTAGATTAATCAGTCCCATCTCCCGTCTTCCCAATTCTGCCCTGATCTTACTCGTGTCTCAACAGAGGACTGCGGACTTCATTTCCGCCACCATCCGGATACTTCCGCAATCTCCGCAAGCGGCCCGTTGCCATGGCGACTGTGTACACAGCGGGGCAGCGGTGCGTGCCAGGTTTCGGTCGCTGCTGTCAGCCGTTGCGCTGCCGGAGGGCCGCTACTTCGGGAGCGGTGAGCAGGGGCCACGAGCAGCCGGGATGGAGAGGAGGGAGGCCGGAGAGGGGGTGTACACCTGGGAGGCGGTCAGCGGCTGGATTCCGAACCCCGCTCCACAGGGGAGTTCCTTAGCTTGTTTCGATGATCTGTGAAACCTGAGCAGAGGAGGGCGTGGCATCGCCGGGGCCCTTTCAGCCTGGCTGCGGCTTAGGGTCTTCGGATCTAACGTTCCGTGGCCCCACAACGGTCCTATTTCGCGCCTGAGGTTCAGAGGGCGCAAGGCAGAGGACCAGAGATGATCTGGACTTTTGTGTACTAGTTGGTTTTCGAACTGGAGGGGTCTTCGGGATCGCCAGTCCGAGCCCTTCGCTTTACAGACGAGGAAACCGCTCCAGAGAGAGACAGGAATGGTCCCAGGTTCCGCTGCCTCCCACACTCCGCACAGGGGTCCAGCATGTTGGGTGAAAAAGGAGATAAGGCCAGTTGTGCTTGGATCCGAGTCTTTTGTTTAGCTCAAGGCTGGGTGCGTTTGGCCTCTGTGTTTTGGGGTTTAGATGCTCCTGCCGCTTTGGTGGTTATGAGGGTTCTCCATGAGATCCCCTGGTCTGGGCAGGAGCGCTGGAAAGTAGGGACCCGCCTGGTGCCTATGGCCCAGGAGACGCTCCCTCTCCTTTTACCGAGCCTTAAGGGGTCCTTGGTGGCAATTCTATTCATTCTCACCCCTAAAACCAGTGGTGATATCGCGAGCCTCTCAGCAGGGAGGTCTCCTGGTGGCCACACTCAGAGGTTCACTTATTTATGCCAGAAATATCGAAGAGTGGTGCCCATGAGAAAGGGGCATTCCCTACAAGGTCCTGAGGGAGAAGGACCCCACTAAAAGGGAGGGCGTGGTGAGAGGCTGAACATGGCTTCTTGCAAGTGGTGCCTGGAAACCAAGTGTCCTCCTGGAAGGGCTGTGGGCTTAGGAGTTGGAGGTGGTGTGGGAGGGGAGTGACATCATATGCCCCTTGGAACTATCTCAGTAGTGACGGAAGATGGACCCACATATGGAGATTCAGCCACCCTCTGACTTCCAGCTGTGACCATCACCACCAACCACCATTTCTTGAGCATCTTGCTCTGTGCTAGGCACTGCTCTGGACGTTGAGGGGGGGTTCAAAAGAGATAAAAGGCACAGTCCTATCCCTCAAGCAGCTTGTAATTTAATTTGGGAACTGAAGCCCACTCAAATGATGCAGCGTAAGAACGGTAACAAGCATTATTTCAGTAAGTGCAAGATGGCATGGGGTCTCCAAATGTGTGGGTCTTGAGGGGCTGCTAAGCAGCAGATTCACAGGAGGGATGTAGTTAATAGAGAAGGCTTGCTTCAGTTGGATATTACTTTTGGCATGCCTGGAGCCATGGGTGTGAGCACCGGGAGGGCCTTGGGAAGCACAAATAGGGTGACTGCATGTGCATGTTGGCTAATTGCAGGGCAGAGAAGGGGCTGGCTCTGAGGGGAGGGTGATGCTTGGAGCTGGCCTCCTGTGCTGTCAGTGAGTGGGGGCTGCCGGGAGGGAGGCCTGGGCACCTGCCCCCAGACCTGGCCTGCTTCTTTATGATCCTTTTCAAAGGGCACCTTGGGCAGCATCTTACCTTCCCTGGACAGGAGGATGGGCCCTCGAACTGGTCTGGGAAATGGTTCCTAGAGCTTTAGAGATTGAGGGTAAGTATTTGCTTGAGTCAAAACACACCTCCCTCCACTCACCTTCCCAATAGCCTAGAACAAAGTGAACTTGGAGATGAGATGTTCTCTTCAATTTCCTCAATTTGGGATTCGTGTTAGAGCTCTTTGTGGCTTTTTATTTCTAGAGCTCAATTTTGTAGAGAAAACTTTTAGGACTGAAATTGGATAAGCCATTATCCTTGCTTACTTGAATACCTTTCAGATTCATTTTCTAAAAATTAAAAGGTCTGAATGATCCCATAGTGGCTTGGAAAAGACTTCCATGAAATAATTACTGGAGGAATGTAGGAAGTGGACACACACTCTCCAATAGGCAAATATGAAGGTAACATATTTGCTTATTTGATTTGACATCTGAAGTGCTTGTAACAGGGGTTAGAGTTTTACTCTGTCCACAGCATTGAAACTGTAAACTGAAAGAGGGGGGCCTGTCTCTTTTTAACTTGCTTCTATAGAGATACTTAATGCCACTTGATGATAGTTACTATAATTGTAAGGGGAAATCAAGTGGTCCCCACAAGTTGTGTCTAGAAATGTGGAGGGTCAATGATAATTTCAAAATCTGGAATCATTTTTATCGGGTAACACTCATTGAACTTCTCTTAGAGAATATGTGTAAAATTTTAATATTCTTTATTTAATGTGCATTTTTAAAAAGTGAAATAATTAACTGTAATTAAAAGAAGAAATCCCTGTCATGCATGACTTTTTCTTTACAGTAAAGGTCTTGAAAATTAGCTTTTTAAAAATATTAAATATCATATCAGTTTATTTCTTAGAGTGCTTTGCAGTAGCACAAGCAAGCTGTTTTTTCCTTAATAACTGTGTCGATATTGCTATTTCCCAATTTGAAGATGAAATTGAGTCAGCTCCCTATGGCCCGTGTTTCTCTAACTCATTGTAAATTCAGCAAACTCCTTTGCTGGTTGTCTTTTTCAAAAGTGTCCAGGAGTTTTCTTTAGCCTCAACTCTTCTCTCCTGCCCCATGAATGTACAGGTTATTTTAGGGGCAAATGCCTCGTTTCTTATTGAACTGGTCCGACCTTGACAGGGAGATCAAAAGAGAAGTGTATGATGCAGCACACATCCTGACCCTCAGACCTCGTCTCTATTCGAAGTCTGTTTTGTACATTGTGGAACATTAACTCTAAATGAGTTTTTAACACTCTTTCTTTATATTCATGGTTCTATAAAAGTGAAATTATTGAAATTTGAGAGTCTAGTGGACTACATGATCATAAACTACTTGATGATATTGTTCAGATTATTTAAAAAGAAAGAAAAAAATATTAGGTTGATCTTAGAAAAATTTATATGTAAAATTAGAGATGTTCTATCTTGGAACAATTTAAAATTGTATTATGTTAATTTACCCAATAGTTTTGAACAGTGAACTCGTTTAGCATATTTTCGTAGACCTTTGTCTTGTTTTCTAGTATTACTTAACTGGATTTAACACAGTTGATGATGATTACAGATAGATTTTTGCTTAGCCTTCTTTAGAGCTCTTGACATTTTCTCTCAACATGTAATCCTTTGTCATCCGCGTATGAGAGGCACCTGAAGAGTTGATGAAGTTTTAAGTTCCCCTTAAAGCAATAAAAATCAGTGCAATTATTACTTCTATTTCATAACCCTCTTTGCTTCTCCACTCTATGTCGATGCTAGAACCAAAATTTGCTATCTAATTAGTATTAAATATTTTTGCACAGACACTCTCAGGAGAGAGCCTAGTGTGATTTGACCAATGAGACTAGTATCCAATAAAATGTGAGATTTCTTAGTTATCATTTGGAGGATTGTACGATTCTTTTTTTTTTCTTTTGGTGAGGAAGATTGGCTCTGAGCTAACCTCTGTGCCCATCTTCCTCTATTTTGTATGTGGGATGCTATCACAGCATGGCTTGATGAGTGTTGTGTCAATCCGCACCCGGGATTCGAACCTGCGAACCCCAGGCCGCTAAGGCGGAGAGTGCAAACTTAACCACTACGCCACTGGGCCAGCCCTGTACAATTCAATTTTTAAAAATTTTTATAGAGTACTTTAGTTCAACAGGATCTTAGAGATCAATTAACTCTCCCTTCAATGCAACAGTCCCTTTTGTAGCATCTCTGCTAGTTGGCATTTTGACTTTGCTTGACTGTTTATGGTGTCTATGGTCCTTGCCTTGTGAAAGTCTTTTCCATTATAGGGCAACTCTACACAATAGGAAGGTCATTTGCCTAAATATGCCTCCCTATCACTTATATCTATAAGCTTTCATCCTCTTCCATGAAGCCACATCAAATATTTAACATTTTATTATACATGGTAATTATTTGTGATAGTATAAATGAAGGAAGACAAATATATGTGTGTCTACCTGAAAGAAGATGATGAGCATATAGTTAGGTTTTAGAACATGAAGTGGAAGTGAGGGACTCTCTGTGATTTTTCTCTTAATGGAGTGCCAGAGAAGAAAGAATATTTGATCATGGGCTAGATTAAATATATCTCTAGGGAATCTTTTTCTGATCTAAGTTAGTCTAATGGAGGTAGAGAAGGAGGTACTGCATCTGAAGTGAGGTATGTTAACAAAGAAAAGAAAATTAGTTTTAATACCTTTCATAGTAAGTATTTTAGAGGAAAATATAATGAATGGGGCAAAGCATAAGTGGACTCAGATACAGAACATTTCTAGAAACCACATCTAAGATTAGGCGACTAAAGGGAACATTCTTTTTGCTTTGTATTTCAGTCTCATAGGAGTCATTGGTAGAAAATGGTGAGGCAGCCTGTAAAGTAGGAAATACACGTACTTGTTGAGCGGTGTCCTCTGGGCAGAGCACTGAAATGCTAAGGGGTAAAAGGAACACTGTGTCTCAGTGGGACAGGAAAACATGGACTATACATCACTCTTTTCTGATCTTCTTAATGAATGACACCTCCCCTCTAATTGTCATTTGATGATGACTACTGAAAATTTTGCTGTTTTCTTATTTTTAGCTAAAATGGGTACTAGGAAAAAAGTTCGTGCATTTGTCCGCGTCAAACCCACCGATGACTTTGCTCATGAAATGATCAGATACGGAGATGACAACAAAGTAAGTGCAATGTGTTTGCCTTCACCTGCTGGGCCTCTCTCTGTCCCACCTCACTGCAGGGTGACCTTGTTTCCAAACAGCCTTTTAAGGGCCAAGACAGAATTGGTAAGAGTTCAGATAGATTCTAGAGTCCATCAAGTCCAAACCACTCCCCCACAATGCTGTTGATGAGGAACTCATAAAACTGCCTTTTTTTCTTTTTCTTTTTCTTTTTTTTTCCTTTGGTGAGGAAGATTGGCTCTGAGCTAACATCTGTGCCAATCTTCCTCTATTTTGTATGTGGGACGCTGCCAAATCATGGCTTGATGAGCGGTGTGTAGGTCCACTCCCGGGATTTGAACCTGTGAACCCTGGGCTGCCAAAGCGGAGCGTGTGAACTTAACCACTTAACCACAGGCTGGCCCCTGAAACTGCCTTTTTAATTCTTTTTGGTTAATAAATTTACCTTTATCCTTGTATCTGACATAAAAACTTACATTTGTCCCCACTCATAAAACTTTCTGGTGATCAGATCTGCCATTACGTAATCTCCCAGGGGGTACAGTAAGAATGTCTTAAGTTGATTACTGTTAAACTTACCAAAGCAGTGGGAGAAACTCTTATCGAGAGAACTGGAAAGATTTATCCATCCCTATGTCCTCACCACTGTCCTGAGAACCTTTCTGAGGCCTGTAATGGGCTTAGTACAGCTTGAGAGTGTTAGGTGTTTTCATTCAGCAAACATTTGTGGATCTATGAGCAGCACTGAGACATTTTTTTAAGGGAAGTATTCAAGGACAAACAGCTCAAGTTTCCAAAGTCATAGCAGTCAGAAAAACACTCATGTGCAGCTCTGTGAAGTGCATCCTGTGGGACATGGTTTCAGTGAGCACAGAAGCACAGAGCATTTAATATGTGAATGAACCAAGCCCATTCTCTCTTAGTTTTTCTGCATGTGGCCGTGTCTTGACTCCTGGATTAAGACAGCCAGTGTAAGATCCCAATGAGAGTCTGTTTCCATCAGAAGTCCTCATTGCAAAGATTGGAATCTACCATTGACCTAACCCAATATGTTCCTAAATCAGCTGCTGCCACAGTGGCTTGCTATGTGGAGAGATCTAAAAATCTAAAAATTATTTTAGAAATCTTTGCATCTAAAAATCTGCTAATTATAAGTAAGTAGGCACCCTCGATTTACTCTAATACCAGTGAGTAACTGAGAAGTCCAGAGCCTTTTCTGTGGCAGTCATTTCATCATTACTCACATTGGCCCGCAGTGTGTGTGTGGGAGTAGGTGCTCACCACAATGCTGAGGAAGGCCTCACTGCCAATAACCAGAGAGGTGGGGCTCAGCCCAGGCCTCTGTCACCAAGCCCACTGTTCTCTCTGCCTAATTCAAGGCCTCCCTGTGCTTATTGAATGTATCTAAAGTTTGTATAATAAGAGCATGATAAATGTGCTTGACCCCATATCATAGATGGGGGGACCAAGACAGACAGCACCCTGCAAACTAGGGCAAGAGGTACTGAAACTAGTAAGTGCTCCAGTCTCCTGACCCTTCTACCTTAAAGGTCATGTGGTTTCCCTGCAGGAGCTTCCTTCCATCCCAAAGAAATCATCTGGAATATCAGCCCATGTGTGGGAGTCCCTGTTCTTCCTAAAGTTCACTTCCTCTGTTTCTTCCAGGTCAGGCCTCAGCTATCAGGGATTTTTTGTGTGTGTGTGAGGAAGATCAGCCCTGAGCTAACATCCATGCCAATCCTTCCTCTTTTTGCTGAGGAAGACTGGCCCTGGGCTAACATCCGTGCCCATCTTCCTGCACTTTGTATGGGAGACTGCCACAGCATGGCCGGACAAGCGGTGCCTCGCTGGGCGCCCGGGATCCGAACCCAGGCCGCCAGCAGCAGAGTGCACGCACTTAACCGCTACGCCACGGGGCCGGCCCTATCAGTGATTTTTTTATACCAGTTTCCTAACAAATAACTCTCTCTCTCTCCCTCTCTTTCTCTCTCCCTCCCTCCCTCTCTCTCGCATTTCCTAGAGCATTGATATTCACTTAAAAAAAGATACTCGGAGGGGAGTTGTCAATAACCAGCAGACAGATTGGTCATTCAAACTGGATGGAGTTCTCCATAACGCCTCCCAGGACTTGGTTTATGAGACAGTCGCGAAGGATGTGATTTCTCAGGCCCTCGATGGCTATAATGGTAATTTAGTTCATTAACTGTTGTTTTGTGTAAGAACCTATGGAACCTCTCCTGGAGGAAGAGGTGCAAGTATTTTATGGTGAATAGAATAAAATATAACCTCACTTACTAATTTTTTTTTTTGTGAGGAAGATCGGCCCTGAGCTAACATCTGCCAGTCCTCCTCTTTTTTGCTGAGGAAGACTAGCCCTGGGCTAACATCCATGCCCATCTTCCTCCACTTGATATAGGACGCCGCCACAGCATGGCTTGACAAGCGGTGTGTTGGTGCACGCCCGGGATCCGAACTGGTGAACCCCAGGCCACTGCAGCGGAGTGTGCACACTTAACCACTTGCACCACCGGGCCGGCCCCCTCACTTACTAATTTTTGTTCACTTGTTTGTCTGCCTCCATGTTCTTATGGTAGAAGACTTATTTGCTTGGTGACATTGTGGGCGTGGCTTGATCCAATGTCCTGGGATCCTACCTTCATAAGGAAGACTAAATGACCCTGGCTCTCTATAGGTCATGGGGATTCAACTGTTATCCTGTTTCAAATCTCTCAAATATTTGTGAAGATAATATCTTTATGATGAATTTGATGGAGTCCAAACATTTTTCTCTTGGCTACCTGCTAGGAGCTATTTCCATTCATTCTACCAGCACAATCTACTGTTCATATTCTAGTATAGGATTATTGACATGTATATCTAAAAACTTGAGTAGAGTTTGATTTTCTTAACAAATTAAAAGCAGCTTTATTGGGAAATTTTTACAAACTTGTTCAGTCTAAGATTGTTTTAAATTCTTAAAAAGATTTTAAAATCCTTAGAAAGAGTATATCACAGTTTGTAGACTTTGCCAGTCTAGTGGCTGCTGACTAGAATGTTCCCTGTTTGCAAGTTTTAAGTCTTCTGTTTAAAAGTCTGTTAAGTGTAGATGCCCAGACATTGCAATATATCCTGTCTATGATCCACAGGTGTGGTCCACATTGACCCTGAGGGAATGTAGACCTGAGGAGGTAGAGACAGAGGAACCAAGGTGTAGGGAATTTAAGAGTCTTGAGCCCTGGGTGCTGTGGAACCACAAATGGGCGCTAAGTCTCAGTTAAAATGACTCCTTCCTGCACATTTGTTTTGGTTTAATAGATACTGTTTCTGACTCCAGCTCTGATGCTGAATTAGGGCCCCTTGTGTAAAACCTACCAATACCAGGAACTAGAGCATCTGTGTGGCAAAGGCCAACATTGATTTCCGTGGCCCAGCGTTGCAAGGACAGGTCTGCTGTGTAAATGCCCACAAGCAGCCTTTGGGATGGGGTCTGGCTCTGGCTGCCCAAGCCAGGAGGAAGAGCAGATGGAAACCAAAGCCCAGGGTGACTGTGGTTTGTGTCCCAAAGCCTGGTGGTGATGGTAGACCTAAAGGATGTGGGAGGTGTAAGTGAAAGTCTTCCCAAGGGCAGTGAGACCAGATCAGGACCTGGTCATGATGGTCTATTTCTGGAAGTGGCATGAGACCAACTAGCAGCCCTGTTTGGGCCTGTGGGAACTTGTAGTCTACAAAGAATTCTCACCATTAACAGGAAATGCCCTTCCCACTCCCATCTCTTCCTGGGGATTTTCTTGCCTCCTGCCTGGCCAGCCCCCGAGGGAGGCCTGCCCCTGAGACCCTGGCAGTGCATGGCCTTGCTAAAGAAGGACTGGAGTTCAATGCTCTTATTTCCCTTCTCATCATTCTAGGAAAATTCCCACTTCCTCTGTTCCCTGGGATTCCCTGCTCTCCTCAGGCCCTAGGGTCAGATCTTCTCTTGGTAGAGGGAGCAGTAGAGCACTACATGGACCACAGATTCAGAGCAGATGTCTGTGTTTTGACCCTTTATGTCCCTGTTTCGTTGCCTGCCCACCCTCAATGGCAGGAATTCCTGATGTCCTTGGCTGCTCCTGATGATCACCTTCACACCAGGGTCCTGAGTGGCACCAGGCATGCTGGGAGAAGGGAGAGCTATCCTTGGAGCTATTTTCCTGGATGTCACCAAGACGTGTTTTGAAATGTTTGCAGGCACCATCATGTGTTATGGGCAGACGGGAGCTGGTAAGACATACACCATGACGGGGGCAACTGAGAATTACAAGCACCGAGGGATCCTCCCTCGTGCCCTACAGCAGGTAGAGTGGGCCCCGCGGGTGGGATGCCACACAGGTGCCCTCTCTACCATAGATGCTGCTGACTCCAGGCCAGCTATGGAAGACAGTGGGATCCAGGCCTTGAAGGAGTTGCATCCTGTAGGGGAGACAGGATGTACACGGTAGGGTGTATGTGTGTGTCAGAGGCCTCAGGAAACAGGGAGTTCGGGTTTCAGACTCTGACCCACGCCCATGCTGAGACTGTTTCCTCATTTGTGAAAGAGGGAGTCTGACATGCTGACTGACTTCTTGCTGCTCTGATGGTCTGCAATCCTGTAATTGAGGATTTGGAGGTCCTAATCATGTTCCTTCCTGCTTTTAATGAGAAGAATATGGACCCTTGCAGAACTTCCAGGACTGAGTCAGCCCTGGGGATCTGGGAAGTGTGACTGAAGACAGGACAGAAGGGCCTTCCTATGGGGTCCACTCGCCTGCGTTCTGTGAGGACCCTCTGTTGGGAGGTAGGAGGCAGAGGGGTTTTCCTCAAAAGCATCTTGAGGTTTTATAGCCCTGTCCTGAAGAAGTGTAGATGTCCTTCTAGTTCACAACCATTCATGCTTTAATTTTTGAAGCAATATCCTTAAAATCCCACTGTCAAGGATTCAGTATCTTTTTTTTTTTTTTTTTTTTAAAGATTTTATTTATTTTATTTTTTCCCCTCAAAGCCCCAGTAGATAGTTGTATGTCATAGCTGCACATCCTTCTAGTTGCTGTATGTGGGACTCGGCCTCAGGATGGAC